CCGACCCAGTCCAAGCCTTGATATGTCATATCTATCCGCACCCAGTGCCACCCATGTAAAAAAAAAATATTTTACCCTGACCCAAACCACCCAAGCTAATGAAACATTTTCGTACCCGTACCCAGCCCACCCAGAATCTGCAGTGGAACMCTTACCCCTACCCAGCCACACCCACCCCTAGATTTAATCCACCCGCATCCGCCCGCCCCCGCGAGCAATTTTCATCCACCCGTGCCCGGCCGTACCCATGCCCAAAGTTTACCACCCAGCATGCCCTTCTTACTTTCCACATACACAACGGACAAAAAATATGGCAATGTATCTATCCATGTTCTAGCGGGCGATTCAGTCTCATTGAGCACATTTGGAGACTACCGGAGCGAGGCCCGTTGCTAGGCCACGCCTATTTTGCACATTTCAAGAGTAGCGGAAAAAGAAAACAACCAGGCATAATTCCTACTACTGGTAGGACCAGGCCCCAATGCCTAGGGAGACTGGGGATAAAAAATGGAGGGTGCAGGCCAAATATATTATGCCGCATGACCCTAATACAACCTATATGTCCTATACTAGCCTAGTATACAGGCCTACAGACTTCGGGTCACCCGGGCGAAACCTCTACCCGGCCGTAGCAAGGCCCGTTGCTAGGCCACGCCTATTTTGCACATTTCAAGAGTAGCGGAAAATTCCACCCAACACATTTTCACACCCAGCCAAACCAGCTCACACCCTTTCTGCCACACCCGCACCCAACTTGAACCAAAACTGTCGGTTACCGCTGGGTACGGTCGGGTCGGGTCACGGCCACCCGTTGGCGACCTCTGTAATGTACACAACTCTAATTGCTGCTACTGAGAGAATTGGAAACAAATTGATGTCACAGTCTTGGAGTATGGTGCTATCACATATGCTTAACTTCCAGTTCAAGTAGGCAAGTTGCCTCACATTCCCCTACCCCCACGCTTCTCTTGGTAGATGACGCACTGTGTCTTTGTGATCCAATGCAGCTGTAGTCTTAAAACACCATGAATATCCCTACAGATCTGCAGTGCCACCTATAGTGCCCTCAGTTGGGCCTCTGTTGAACAACATTGGTCCTGAGTTGAGCTTCTGTTGAGCAGCATTGCAGCTACCTTTAGGCTCTCGTGTGTAGCCTTGTACCTTTGGTCCCAGTCTAAACTTCTTGTGTCTGGTTCACTGAAGAGCTGAACTTGGTGGGTGGACTTGAGCAGAGCTGAACTTGGTGGGTGGACAGGAGCTCAGGCTAGAGGGGCTGGGGGGCATGGGATAGGTGGTGGG